ATCACTCTTGGGAATGTCACTACTGATGACATTCCTTTTAAGGAAAAGGTCTTGCTTCAATATACTTAATTTTTTTTTTTTTTTTTTTTTTTGAGTTGGAGTCTCACTCTGTCACCCAGACTGGAGTACAGTGGCCACTCCCAGCCACCGCAGCCTCAATCTGCTGGGCTCTGGCGATCCTTCTGCCTCAGCCTTCCAAGTAGCCGGAATTACAGGCATGCGCTACCACACCCGGCTGATTTTTTGATTTATTGTAGAGACGAGGTCTCGTTGCCCAGGTGGGTCTCGAACCCGTGGGCTCAGGTAATCCACTCACCTCAGCCTCCCAAAGGCACGGGATTACTTAATTTTTTAAAAATTACTTTGAGAACCATTTATAATGAGGAAGTCTTTTGTTTGTCAGGGGACAATTTTCTAATTTAATTTATTTAGCAGCCCTAGCATGTCCATATATGTCTTCATCTGTTTTGGCAGCTATAACCAAATATCATAAATTAGGTGGCTTATAAACAGAAATTTATTTCTCACTGTTCTTCAGACTAGAATGTCCAAAATCAAGGCATAGGTAGACTTGATGTCTGACAAGGGCCGATTTCCAAGACAGCCATATTTTCATCATAACCTCAGGTGGCAGAAGAGACGAGCCAGCCTTCTGGGGTCTGTTCTATAAAGGCACTAATCTTAATCATCAGGGCTCTGCCCTCATGACCTAGTTACCTCCCAAAGGCTCTAACACCTAAAACTATCACCTTGGGGGTTAGGACTTCACCTTTTGAATTTTGAAGAGAGACAAACATTCAGACCACAACAATATATTAAAAATTTGTCAGCTGGGCTCGGTGGCTCAGCCTGTCATCCCAGCACTTTGGGAGGCTGAGGTGAGTGTATTGCCTGAGCCCGCGGGTTCGAGACCCACCTGGGCAACTTGGTGAGACCTCATCTCTACAATAAAATAAAAAATTAGCTGGGCGTGGTAGCGCATGACTGTAGTTCCAGCTACTTGGAAGGCTGAGGCGGAAGGATGCCGGAGCCCAGCAAGTCAAGGCTGCAGTGGCCGGCAGCGGCCACTGCACTCCAGTCTGGGTGACAGAGTGAGACTCCAACTCAAAAAAATAAATAAACAAATAAACATTTGTCAAGTGTTACACTTCATACTAAAAAAAAGTATTTTAGCATACAGAAAGAGGAGGAAAGTATATATCTAGTTCATTTTTCCCTTCCCTCCCTTGACTCCTTATCAGGGTACTAAGGAAAATGAAAGTAAGTATGGTCAGAGTAAACAGGGATCCCATGGGCCTCAAAGAAAGAGTCTGGCAGCAAGCACACGTTCTAAAGTTAATTTGTGATTCAGGTCACTATTGTTCAAGTCAGCTTCTATCAGGAAAGCACGGCAAGAACAATCACATAACTGGGACTTGGGAGGGAGGGGTGGAGGGTGGGACGTGCCACTGCAACCAAGTCCATCACTATATAATTAAGCTGGGACTTGGGGTAGAAGAAGTAGGTTAAAGGCAAAGACAGCAGCTTACAGTGAGTGGTACAATATACGCAAAGATGGGGATACAAGCAGGAGATGTCAGGCCAGGTGCCTTATGGACCAGAAGATACTGATTAGAGTCTCCCAAGCTGAGTGATTGGCGTGGGGATGGAGGGAGCTGGTCAAACCAAATCCAGCACCATCTTCCCTGACCCCAAAGCCAGTTCCAGCAGTATACCGCTTCTCTCTCCTGAGGGAATCATGTCTGCGTAGAGAGGTCATGAAGAGACCTACAATGTTTCAACTTGTCAGGTAACTGCTAGCACATGAACACGTGGGGCCGCCAAAGAGCTCCCAAGCACATGGGGAAACAGCTCACAGGAAACAACTGTCTGCAGACCTGAATACTGAAGATATGGGAGAGAGAGGAAAACGGAGACTAAAGAGAGACTGTCAAAGGAGGAAAAAGACACACAAAAGACATAAAACACATGGAACAAACACCCTTGGAGGACATGCCATTACACACACACACACACACACACACACACACACACACACACACACACACATACACACACAGAAAACAAACCAGAGAATACAAAAGTTAGCTACTTTGTTCCTAAGCAAAGTCAAATCACATTCTTAGATTAAGCCAATGGGTAAAAATTTTAAAGCCCCCTTATCATTCCTTTATGTTTACTTAATTTTTTAAATGAAAACATACAATGTTGGTAAGGTTATAGTAAAACTAATAAACTCATAAGTCCCTTGAAACTATAAATTATCGAAACTTTTGAATACCAATTTAACAAAACCAGAACCAAAAGCTATAAAAATTGCCAGAGTCTTTCACCCAATGATACTCCTGAGGACTTATCCTCAGAGGAATAAATCAAAAGAAAAACCGGCCCAGCATGGTGGCTCACACCTGTAATCCCAGCACTTTGGTAGGCAAAGGCAAGACAACTACCTGAGCCCACGGGTTCAAGACCAGCCTGAGCAACGTGGTGAGAGTTCATCTCTACAATTAAAAAAAAAAATAGCTAGGCGTGGTTCCAGTTACTTGGAAGGCTGAGGTGGAAGGATGACCTGAGCCCTGCAGGCAGACACTGCGGTGGCCATGAGTGGGTGACAGAGTGAGACTCTGAAACAGAAAAAAAAGAAAAAGAAAGAAAAAAGAAAAGCTGTATGTATAAAAATACTCACTACAACATTATTTCTAATAGCAAGAATATTTGTAAACAGGAGATAGAAACAAACTATCCAAAAACAGAAACAAAAAATGAGTTAAGACACAATAACATAGAACAATCCTATGGAATCATGAGAAATGATAAATGATAATTTTATGTAGCAACATAAAAGAAGTTTATGATAATATTATAATTTGTAATATTTATCAAATATCTGTAGATCACAATTTACCACTATGTAAAATACATATACCTGTAACAAAGATCCAGAGGAAGTGGGGGAAAATAGACAGTTGATATGTTAGGAACTGTAGAATTGTGGGTGACATTTTTTCCAAAAATTTTCTTCACTAGTTTGTTGTTTGTCTACTAACAACATGGGTTTGGTAGGACTAGTGGTAAAGGCAGAAACAAATGCTAGGGTAGAATCTCTCTTTTTTTTTTTTTTTTTGAGTTGTAGTCTCACTCTGTCACCCAGACTGGAGGGCAGGGGCATGCTCCCGGCAATCCTTCCACCTCAGCCTTCCAAGTAGCCAAAACTACAGGCACGTGCTACCACGCCTGGCTAATTTTTTATTTATTGTAGAGACGAGGTCTTGCCAAGTTGCCTGGATAGGTCTCAAACTCACAGGTTCAGGCAATCCTCTCGCCTTGGCCTCCCAAATTGCTGGGATTACAGGCTGAGCCACCGAGCCTAGGGGTAGGATCTCTTAATGTAACTTTCAAACTATTACTGAAGGCTGGGCACAGTGTCTCACACCTGAAATCACAGCACTTTGGGAGGCCAAAGTGAGAAGATCATTTGAGACCAGAAGTTCAAGACCAGCCTGGGCAACATAGCGAGATTCTGTCTCTACAAAAAGATTTTTAAAAATCAGCCAGGCATGGTGACACATGCCTGTAATCCAAGCTACTTGGGAAGCTGAGGCAGGAGGATTGCTTGAGCCCAGGATTTCGAGGCTGCAGTGATCTATGATTGTATCCCTGCCTCCAGCCTGAGCAACAGAGCTAGACCCTGTCTAAAAAAAAAGAAAGAAAGAAGAAAACTATCACTGAAATCTTTTTTTTTTTTTCCTTTCATCTTGTTGCATTAGTAGGGCTTCATAACGGCATCATACTTCTGCCTGGAAACCCAGCTCGTCGGTCTACCCTTAAGGATTCTTTTTAGTTTCAAAACCTAGAACCACTAAACCAGCCTCTGAACTGCCCTGCCCTGCTCCCAGTGTATCACCATGACTTCAAATGCCATGGCCTTGCCCCACTGCCCACATCTGGCCTGCTCTTCATAAATCTGAAAGAATCAAATACAAACAAAAGGCAGCAGCACCCTGAGCCGCCCACTGCTGGAAGGTGAGATTTCCCAGTCCACATGCAGCTGTAATTACCAGCAGGCAATTCCAAAAACAACAGGAGCTTCAAGGAAACTGTGCTAAAATACTCCCTAGTTTTTAACTACACATATATTCCTTTCTACTAACCTACTCTTCTGAAACCACCAGATTTCAGAAAAACACTAATAGCTACAACTCAATGTTCAGAGTTGGACTGAGCCCACATAGTGAGCCAATACAGATCACTCTTGAGAAATAGAAAAGCTGTGCTTAGAACCAGAAGAAAATCAGATAGTCCTTGTTGGTCTTAACATTGGAAATTCAGCCAGGTATGGTAGCTCACACCTGTATCCCAGCATTCTGGGAGGCTGAGGCAAGAGGATTGCCAGAGCCTACGGGTTAAAGACCAGTCAGGGCAACTTGGTAAGACCTCGTCTCTGCGATAAATCAAAAAATTAGCCAGGCATGGTGGTGCGCACCTGTGGTTCCAGTTACTTGGAATGCTGAGGCAGAAGGATCGCCTGAGCTCAGCAGGTTAAGGCTGCAGTGGCCATGAGTGTGATAGAGTGAGACTCCTATTCAAAAAAAAAAAGATTGGAAATCCTGTGTGTGTTGGAGGATGAGGAGGAGCATGATGGTGCAAATGAAGTCAAAACAGCTCCCAGGCTCTCTAAAGAGAATCTGCAAGAATTCTTCCAAGCAGGGACTGATCTGAAGTACAGCAGCAAATGCCAGTTCTGGACATTATATATTGAGCACTGTAATTCTCTTCTACCTTTGGGAAGCTTTCACTTTCAAGCACATTCCTAAGATGCAGTACTATCATACTCAGTGACCACTCACCCAGGTAGGATTCTCCAGAGAAACTGCCCTGCCCCCATGCCCCTCCCCTCCCCGCCAGTTTGCAAGCCCTCTGGAATAGCCATAAATAACACTTGGGGCAGCAAAGCTGTGGTCACACTTGTCTGTGATTTGTTGATCACGTTAAGGACTCACCTTCATAAGAGGCAGCTCAATGTCTTCCATCATAAGGGTTATTCCAGGAATTTCCTACAGTGGGAAAAAACACACACACGGCTGTTCAACAGATCAATGCCACTGACTCAAGCTTTCAGGAAGTGTTTTCTACACAGACAGAAGCTGAAGGCAACTTCCAGTTTGCTAACCTCTACTTTAAATAAACCTTGGGGTGTAAAAATAACAGTGAACGCAGCCTCTCTCTTGCCTCAGGAAGGGAAATATTCTTTACAGTCACGATTATAATAGTTGACAGGCTCTCTAAAGGAAAAGACTTTTATGAAGAAAGAGAGAGTAAATAGTGAATTCTTTATCTATCTTCCGTTTAAGTACAAATGAGGCCAATTATATTGCATCAAATGCAATGATAAAGGGGAAATATTCCATTATGTATACTCAATGCTCTCTCTTCTTTCTTCCACTTAAATGTATTATGGTTGTCCCCTGAGCCTCACAAAAAGGAACCAAGCCTAATGGGATTCCTGCATGATTTGAGTGGGTTATTTTTCTGCACTTCATAGTCCACCACAACATCAGAGATAAAAGCTCCCCATTAAGAGTTTCTGCAACAGTATCATGGCAAACCTGACAGGTAAACAAGTCATATCAGGAAGTCCAAATAATAGCATTCTGTTAATGAGTGGGCATTAAAACAGAAATTTAATAAACGAATAAACTTTCAGGATTGCTCCTTATTCACTGTTATTTTGAAAAGTGTGTCCTATGTTAATTATATCATTAGCCTCTCATCTGATCGATTCACCTTTCATTTCCTTAAAAAAAAAAGTAGATAATATATGAGAAAATAATTTAGGATGCATTATGTAGAAATAAAAATTCGTATTTGTTTAAAATTTAAATTCTCTGGAATATACTGATATACAATATTTCTGTGAAAAACAGCATGGCAGCAATAGAGAAATTTTCAGAATATTCAGGTGACTGAGTTGTTCATTGTAACAGTAGAAAGCTTGTGGTGAGATGCTGTGTGAGATGCTGGAGAGGATACGGCGAAAAGGGAACACTTCCACACTATTGGTGGGGGTGTAAACTAATACAACCTCTGTGGAAAACAGTGTGGCAATTCCTAAAAGATCTAAAAATCAACTTTTCATACAACCCCGCAATCCCCCTACTGGAAATATACCCAGAGCATGTCAAATCACTCTAGGAAAAAGATACCTGCACACATATGTTTATTGCAGCATTGTTCACAATAGTAAAAACATGGAACCATCCATGCTGCCCAACGAAAGAGGACTGGATTTTTTTTTTAATATAGTATATACACATGATGGAATATTACGCAGTCATAAAAAAGGAAAAATTTATGAACTTCACAGCAACCTGGACAGACTTGGAATCTATAACACTGAGTGACCTATCAAAGAAACAAAGAACTGAGTATCACATGTTCTCACTTATAAGCGGACCTTGAACAATTATCGTAATACTATAAGTAAAGGATTGGCAGTAGTGGGAAACTGCCAGGGGAGGGCGGGGGCAGGATTGACAGTAGTGGGAATCTTGCCCGGAGATGGGGGGGTGCCACACCTCAGCAGTAAGGGCACCTGCATAGTGAACATTTGTATACTTAACCCTGAATTGTACCCCATCTGCAAAATTTAAAAAATTTAAAAATAAAGAATCGACACTGCTTCATGTAGGTATTCTGCAACAGAGAATACCTCCAAAAAAGTATTACTATTTCACTACAGTTTTAGGTTATAAATAACATTCTAAAATAGGAATAATTGCTTGCAAAGCATAATTCAGTATCTATGTGTAAAAGCACCATGTTCTCTTTAAAAATCCAAGTCAGTTGTCACCACATGGAGGTATGAAATTAATGTTTTCTACTGTGGTAACTTTTTATTGAAGCTGTAGTATGAAGAACATTTGTAGATTAGAGAAAGGAAAAGTAAAGAATTTACATCATTGTAAAGATAAGCACAGACTCATAGAATCTTAAGATTAAAGGAGACCTTTAACGTAACCTACTATAACCGCAAGAGGTTTAAAGCAACATGATAAACCCCAAGATGAGTTCAGTACACAGAGGTTATAACCGCAGGTTTCTTTATATTGCATTTCTTGTGAGACTTCCTGATGTCACTCTTATAGGTCCACAATGGCTCCTCTGCCGCATTGAGTCTTGACAAATGCAAAAGTGATGTGTTGCCTGTCAGGATGATATTCTCACACCACATCCAATTAACACGTGCTCAATCTTCTAACAGCCCTGGGAACTAATGGTCCAGCCCTGCCTCCTGGACACTTTGCACACAGGACATAACAGCAAGGCGTGGAAAGAGAGGGAGTGAAGATGTGCATTTCCTGACTCCAGGGTGGTATGACCTGCAGACTTCCTGCCACAAGACCACAGGGTCTACATGTACATTCACAAGTTTCTGAAACAAAAATGTATAAACCTAGAGAAGGAACAAGCTCAGATCTTTCCCTTAGTATTCTAAGTTTATGTATAAAAATATAATAACCATAACAGTAAAAGACTAGAAATGGGGGCCTTTAGAAAACACTACCACTGTGTATACCAAAGGTTAGAAATGAATCAAACACATTTGATATGTCTTTTTTAAGAACCATATTTAGACATGGTCTAGATACAAAATGGGAAGTGTCACAGTTTATCCTAGGACATATTTTCCTATATCTGTGTTTCCTAAATTCGATTTATTTCTCTAAATATCTTTTTGATACAAACCTCTGCCTCAAGAATAAGCATATAGTTCCGATGTCTAAATATGAAAGAAGAGGCAGAACCTTTTTCAGATGCAGCCTACGCATGGTTTTCACTTGCTGGTTCAGCACAGCTCAGCATGTTCAAGAGAAAATTGAACTGCACCATATTTAAGAGAAGATGAACCATGTTTTAACTCAGTACTTCCTAATTTAAAAGGAGGGAGTCTAGAACAACAGGAAGAAAACATTGAATGAGGTGCTTAACATTGCTGACTTTTACTGATCTTGAAACTCTAACGTTATTAAAGATTTGTTTTGAGGCTGAGGAAAGGGGTCATGCCGGTCTGCATCTACCAAGTATAGTAGCAGTGATTCAGCCATTCCTCATTTATAAAAACCTAATAAATATTTCAATCTACTCTGATAATTTAAAAATCTAAAATACCATTTTATAAAAGTACCATGATAGAGATTTAGTTCTATATGGTAGTAGGAAGTGTAATATCCTGTGTACCTTAGCCTTTTATATAAAAGTTTTACTGCTTTTATATAAACTTTCATCACCAGCAAGGATTCATTATTACTTTTCTGCCAGAAAATTCCAACTCAGTTCCTTATCCGTTAAAACAGAAATGAAATCACAACCTTGATTACTATAACAGAGATGTCCTACAACTTACCCACAACTGTGAATTTATTTCAATTGCATGTGGAATACAAAGTGTTAACTTACTGTATTCCAAGTGAGCACTGAGGAATAAGGCAAAAGTTTGTCCACGTTACTTGTCTCTGGATATACACTCCAATATGAAGAAGCTGAATAGATTTTTAAAAGAGGAAAAAAACAAGGTGTTTTTTACTTTTCTTTAGCAAGGAAGTCAACATTATCATTTAGCCAAGTCAAACAAAGCAACAAAAGTTCATTGCCTTACCCCTCATCCTCAATAGGTTAACCATTAGGGAATTTTATCTACTGATAAAAATGTTCAGATTCGGTTTTTTACAATGAGGTTAATTTCATTTTTTTTTTTAATTAGTACTATAGCTAACCAAAGGACATTATACCACTTTATATGAAGCCAGCCAACACAAAACTGGGCTAAGAAAGTTATATTTTACTGGGAAAAAAATCACTAATAAGGTTACAGAATCAAGATCATATCTTATATCTCATCAGTCTCTGAACAGCCATCACTTCTCACAAAAACCACAAGAGAATGAAATATAATTAGCTGCTGACTGCAATAGAGTTTTTTTTTTTAAGTGCTCCTAAGCAGCATTTTGACAGGTTGAGGCATTCATTATCAATTTACTGCTTTCCCTCAAGCAAAGGGGTCAAGTACCCAACTTAAGGTGCACCATCAGCAACACTTACCAATTATAAATTCCTGAATGAGGTCAAATGAATGGCAGGCAGAGATGTTCTCAGAAATCCACTGAATAATCTTTAAAAAGTAAAACAGAACTCCACTGGTATTTAAGTCTACACTCCACCCCCACCACCAAAGAAATATGAATATATATATATTTTGGAATTGCCTAAGAATATACTCATTTCCACACTTTCTTCAAGATACATAATACAATTCTGGGTAAGACATTATTATAAATGAGGTCCTTTTTATACATCTTTTAAATAAATGTCCTTGGCTGGGACCCAAATAAACCTTCTTCAACCCAATATTTGTTTGTTTTTGCTAGAACAGGTCATGTTCTAGCAAAGCACCAGTGGGAAGAACTGTGGGATACAGAAGAAAACAAAGCAAACGAAACAACTTGGAGGCTGCAGGCCTGAGTTTGAATTCCAGCTGGGAGGTGGTGCCACTGCATTCCACCTTGGGTAACAGAGTGAGACCCCAACTCAAAATAGATAAGCTATTTTATTCCAAACCTATTTATGCTAGTTGTATTGATTTTCACCATTAGGAATGCTGCCACGCCAGCTAATCTTTGTTAACATCATGGTACTACCCTCAAGGGAGGGATCATCCCTGCCAAACCAACAACTCTCTCAATCTCCCTAACCACCCTTCTGGAAGAGTGAAGCTCCCTGTCTGCCATCTCAGAACTGACAAACATCATAAGGCATGCCTAGCAGCAGTGCACACTTACATTTTTGCTCCCATCAATAAGCTATTTTAGGCTTAGCGTGGCGGCTCATGCCGCTAATCCCAACACTTTGGGAGGCCGAGGCAGGAGGATCACTTGAGCCCAGGAGTTCAAGACCAGCCTGGGCAACAGAGCGAGGTCTTGTCTCTACAAAAAGTTAGGTGTGGTGGTACACACCTGAAGTCCCAGTTACATGGGAGGCTGAAGCAGGAGGACCACCTAAGCCCAAGAGGTCAAGGCTGTGATGAGAAGTGATGGTGGCACTGCATTCCAGCTGGGGTAACAGAGTGAGACCCCAACTCAAAATAAATAAATAAGCTGTTTTATTCCAAACCTATTTATGCTAGTCGTATTGATTTTCACAATTAGGTAATTAAATAAAACATTACTATAGACAAGTGAAATATGGATGCAAAAAGAATGTCATTGGGTCAATAAAAACTGAATGCTTCAGAAAAACTCAAAGGCCTGTCTCTAAAACACTAAAAAGCTAGATTAGGTGAGAGAACTATAAAAGAATGGGTCAAGAAAAACGCCTGATATACACAGTTTGCTTTGGAAGGGTCTTTAAATTATTGATCTCTTTAGAAATAAAAACTTTTTAAAGAAACAGAAAGTTAGAGATAACACATTATAGTGATCTTATGCAAGAAAAATTACTTTGAACTCCAATTAGCTGATGCACAAAGAAAGGCCTTAATCTACACCAAAAGATGAGTGTATAAATGTACATTTTTATGTTTTTGGCTAAAATAAAATGTCTAATTTGTCTTTTTGTAATTAACCAGCCACCCACTGGTCTCAACCCAGTTTGTTTTCCGAATCTCTCCAATTTCACAGGGTAAGTATAAAAATTAAGTGACAGA